GAAAGGCCGCTCATGCATAATCAACATACTGTTGACGAGGCACGAATGGTTACAAGCGCTGAACCAAAACAAGTCGGTCGACGTCATTTACATTGACCACAGTAAGGCTTTTGACAAGGTAAACCATGCAGTGATCCTCGACAGGCTGAGGATGTGTGGTGTTGGCGGCTCGCTGCATTGATGGATCAAGAATTTCCTTGTTGCTCGAAGGTGGAGGGTCCAGGTTGACAACCACTTAACCGACTGGTATCCATCGAACAGTGGTGTGCCCCAAGGCACTGTACTGGAGCCGATTTTGTTCCTGATCCATGTAAACGATGTGCCTCAGCTACTCCAATCACCTTGTGCGTTGTTCGCAGATGAGTTGAAGGTGTGGAGAGTAATCCGCACACCCAATGATTGTGACCTGCTTCAGTAGGACCTCGACCGTCTCTCCACATGGTTTGCAGAGGTCAACCTTCCGATCAACCCGGACAAGTCGCAATAGATGAGGCTGCGTAAGTGTGAGCACAGTCGAACCTACACGGTGGCCGGTCAACCGTTACATCCCGCGCCTTTCGTGTGAGACCTCGGTGTACTCTCTCGCTACGACCGGAAGTCCATGGACAAGACGAATAGGCTTTATCAAAACAGCCTTCGTATGCTTTGGGCGCTCAGGCGCAGCTTCAGCATTTGATCCGAAGAGATTGCCACTCGCCTCCTCGTCTCAATAATACGACCAATGCTAGAGTATGGCTCTCCCGCGTATTGTCCTATCACCCGGGGCGAGGTAGAAAATATTGAGAGAGTGTAGCATGTAGCCATCAGGCTGATTCCCATTTTACGAGGTGTGCCGTACGAAGAACGGTGTAAGAAACTAGGGCTGTACACCCTAGCTTATCCTCAACTGCGCGTTGACCACATCATGACGCACCGGATATTACATATGGGAGATTACCACATGTTGAGGCCGCTGCTTCATCTGCACACACCAAGCAGCACACGAGGACACCGGTACAAGCTTGTCGTACCGGATTTGAAGCGAGTCACCCACAAACTATGTTTCGAACGAAAAGTGGTGAATGTATGGAACGACCTGCCGCAGCACATAGTTGAGGCAAAGTCGGTGTCGGAATTTAAGAAATTCCTGGACAAACACTGCCGACATAAAATATATTGAGCGCAACACAACATGACGGGTCATTGTCCCTGAGTGATATTAGATGCAGCTACACAGAGCAAACTCTAGTTGCTGCTTCCAACCAGTAATCAAACTCAGGCCAATCCGATAGTGCTGTGATTACAGGCGAAAGACGGACTGAACTAATACGACCGCGGCACCGCTAGTGCTCATCGCATACGTAAATATGGCCAATGGATGTGCGCACCCTGCTTCGCTTGTGATAAGGAGTGGGAGGGGAAACATTACAGAGTGGTGGACCGCCGAAGTCAAGCTTCTGATATCAGGAATTTGGAGTGAAAAAAAAAGAATAAGAGTGGTTTACCGTCAATTTTATGCCCTCAGGCTGAAATGGGACAATGGACAGGAGTAAAAGTACCAGTAACACCAAAGGGGCCTCGGATACTGCGAAGGGATAAAGCAAAAAAGGGTTGTCGTCAAGGAAATCGTTATTGTGAAGCTAATAAGGGTAGCGGGGAGTTGCTTCCCAAGTTAACGCATTAACCGAATTATACTACATGAATAAGTTTAGACCATGTGACATCGACGGCATCAAGAGTGAGCCAGCGTTCTACACAAAAGACTCGGGCTGATCTGAAGCACAGGTAGCCTAGCCAATCAAAAGGAAGTAGTGGTGTACATAAGGTGCTACCTAGCGTGCCAACGAGAAATTGTTATGTGCATGTGTTGATCAAACGATGATTAAGAGCACACCTAAGCGTGAGAGTGGCCAATTCAAGCTGCCTTCAGTCAAGTGAAATAAAGCGTCCCACATACCGTAAATTCAACCATGTAGAATTGCAAAACCTCAACTGCTGCGCGTTGCAGCGACATTTCGCCGCACTTCATAGACCTGGACATTCCGTCGGGCGAACGCACGATGTGGATAGCATACCGATGTCGTACTTTCCGAAGTTCCATTAAGCCAATGCCAGCGTATTGCAAGAAAAGGAGAGTGTCCGTGAGACTATCGGCGAATAGAACGATAGAAAGATATTCGTCCTCTTTAGGGTGGACAATCCGAACGGTGTAAAAGAGCCAAAAAGCGAATAAAACCACGAACAGAACACACACAAAAAGGGTTCGGCATAGTCTCACACGAGGAAGAATAGCCGACCCACCTGAACATAGAGTACGACAGGGAGAAATGAGAACCCAGGTAGCTAACGATAAGAGCGCCAGTTTTACTGATATTCCAATTAGATGGCCTTCACAATTGGGCTTGCATGATTCCGTGTTCCATCCAATAGAAGGAAAATGGGGTATTAAAAGCATTAAAACAGGTGATAACAAAGCACTAAGAGCGATGAATGTGGATCCAAGCACGCCAACAACATGGGAACAGCTGAAAAGGTTTATGTTGTCAAACTCAGAGCGAATAAGAGCCGCGGCAGCACCGCTTAGGCCGAGGCCGGCGCCAGCTCCAGACTGCATGTTCAAGGATGCAGCAAGGCCATAACGGGCGCCGAAACGTGACACGTTGTCTCCACCACTCAAGCCGGTTTCACTAGTAGCTCCAGTGACGGCGGTGGCATTTTCGACCCACGCCGCATCATCCTGAACTAAACGTGAATCAAACTGATCATTGCGATAAGAACCGTCTAGTTGATGCTGGACGTTAGCGGGATTGAGTTGGGGGTGCGGTGGAATAATTGAGGGTGGTATTGCATGGTGCTGACCGGTTGCCATAAATCCGGTAGGCTGTTGCATTGATTGCACTGGTTGGGACATGTGTGGTTGCTGTTGATTAGTGATGGACGATTGCCTGTTGAATGGCATGCCCGCCAGTTGCGCGTTGAACGCTGTGGGTAAAACCTGTTGTGTCGGCCAGCCGACAGGTGGGTAAGGCATGTGTTGAGGAAAAGTGTGGAAGGTTGGTCCTGGAGGAGGTGACATCCAACTATACATTGTGTACGGTGCAGGAGGGAGCTGAGTAGCAACACCTGATGGATTGATAGGCAGATGATTCCCTTGTACAGAATGGTCCACAGTTGTTGCATGCAGCTGGCTACGGTTGTGGATGAGCTTCAGCTGATCTTCTGTTGTAAGTTGCGGATTCGTCCCATGTGGAGGTAACTGCGACAACTTCGATTTACGAGACCGGTCGCTCCTCTCGCTACGACCGCTTCTAACACTCTCGGCGTCCACCATAGATATCGAGCTGAGTGGGCCTTCAGGTCTGAATAATAAAAATAAGGAGGTTAAAAACACAAAATAAAACGTGCCACAGTATTTGTCTGCGAATCCATAGTGAAGACTATATCTAGCGAAAATGAGAGTAATAGGAGAGCACTGACATCGGTTTCATACGTCACTATAAGTACACTTACAACGCCACTTGGCCCACTACAAGTGCTATGCAAATAAAATAAAATAGCATATTGAGATGTCATTAACTTCACAAGTTATCGATGCCTAGCTTCACAAGTGGGGATAGATTAGTCTAAACGATCCAGAATTCTAGTAGACGTACGATCAGCCAAAATCCAAAATTTTTCATCTAACGGCACGTGAGTCTTGTATACAATGAAGCATTGTGGTTAGCTAAATAGACTTTCAATAAAAAGAATTCAGGGATTGTAAATCTTTAGCAGTTGCAACACAGTATGTATATCATGACCAGATGTTCAATAACTCTATCGAAGACTAATCGGAAATGGTTGAGAAAATTTTCTAATTTTGGAAGATAAATTCAGATTATACTCAGATTCTCATGAAGTTGGCTTCTCTGAGTTCCGAAAGACTGATGGGATAGGATTTGTGAGGTCCTTGTCATGACGCTTCGTTAATCTTCAGCTGAGGAATATGGGGTCAGTGGACGATACCAATTTTCTACCGACTAAATAGAGCGAGACGAAAAGCACAGAAAGAGCTCGAAATGATTGCTGATCCGCCGCTTACACGGAGAAACCTCGTTTGAGATACCCGAGAACAAGCCACTAACAGGAGCGCCGAGAAATGGAGATTTTAATATGATCATCAGTAACCATATCATATATATATATCATATCATTACACGTTAGCTGGAGGTGGAAAACACCTCAGCTATTGTGCCGCAATACAAAAGGCAAGAAACGAAGAAAACAAAACAAAACAACAACAACAAACAGTGGCACGCCCGCTGAGTCCCCAGTAACGGATGGACATCGTTCCGGAGAGCTAACAGCTGGCTGCCGTAAAAGAAAGTCATATTATGCCAAACGATTGAGATCGTGATTGGAGGGGGATGCTAAACAGGAGGGGGATGGACAAAGGAACTCACAACACAAACGCCATTGGGGCCGGCACCTAGCCATATCAGCAAGTGTGTCCAACCAAACGTGTTCACCGTCCTTAGGACCCCAACCAGACAGTCGGGATGCACCAACCGACGCCAACTTCGAAGTGAGGGTTTTCATTTCTCTCGACCAAGTCATCACTTGGCCTCCCCTCCTCCTCTTCCAACCGCACCCACAACGCGTAAACAAAGCACGTCGTGGGAGTCGGTGTGCTGGCATGCGCAACACGTGGCCCAGCCATCGGAGCCTGGTGCGTGATATAATCGTGCTGAGCGGTTCACTCGCTCTTCCTGTACCAAATACGCGACGCCGAACACGCTCATTGCTCACGCGGTGTTCCCACCAGACATGAGCTAAGCTGCGAAGGCAGCGATGATCGAATGTGACGAGTCTCTTCATGTCTGTCGACCTGATGGGCCAGGTTTCACAGCCATATAGGAGAGTTGAACGGACGGCTGCGTTGTAAACTCTGCCCTTCAGGGCGAGAGTAATGTCGCATCTGCGCCACAGGTGGCGGAGATTGGCAAAAGCACCTCGAGCTTTTGCTATACGGTTCGTAACCTCATCTTCAATCCCACGGGTGCTAATATAGCTGCCCAGGTACTTGAATCCCTGAACGACTTCTAGCAGATCACCACCAAGCGTTAGCCCAGGGTTGGATCCCTGCCAATCTTGGAGAAGTACTTTGCATTCCGATGGAGCAAAGCATAGCCCAAAACGATTGACAGCCAGTGCTAATCGGTCCAGTGCTCTTTGGCATGTTTGGGAGCTGTCACAGATTAGGGCAATATCGTCTGCATACTCCAAGTCAAGAAGTCGCTCACCAGGGAGTAGCTCCACACCTTCTAGGTCGTGTCCAGCGAACGCTGTTTCCATGACTTCATCAATATCGAAGTTGAAGAGGAAAGGTGACAGCGGGCATCCTTGTCTCACACCGCTGGTGATACTGAAGGGTGGCGACAGTTTGCCATAAACCCTCACCCTGCCCGAACTATGTGCGTACAGCGCTTTGATAATATTTACATATTTATCAGGCACACCTTTCCTCAACAGACAGTCACAAAGGGCACATCGATCGACTGAGTCGAAGGCACCTTTTATGTCAAGAAACACGAAAACGGTGGGTCGCCAATAAACATGGCGGTGCTCCAACACTTGACGCAATGTGAAGATGTGGTCGATGCAGCCCCGACCTCGACGAAATCCGGCTTGCTCTTCACGAATCTGGCTTTCACGAGTGCCACTCAGTCTGTGAAGAATGAGAGAGGCAAGCAATTTAGAGGCAATCGAAATCAGACTGATCCCTCTATGATTGCCACATTTTAAACGGGAGCCTCCCTTGAAAATTGGGACAATGACGGAGCGGTTCCAGTCTGTCGGGACTGTCTCCTGCTCCCAAAGTCTTACTAGCAACTCGTGTAGATCATCTACTAGAGCAGGTCCACCGAATTTGAAGAGGGCTGGGGGAATTCTATCTGCTCCTGCGGCCTTATGCAATTTCAACAGCTTGATCTCACATTCGACTTCTGCGCGTGAGGGCGGATCCAAGGAGACGGCCCAAGGAGAAGGGCGCTCAATGCCCGAAGAAGAAAACGATAACTCAGGTTGGTTAAATTGCATAGCAAAGTGTTCAGCCCAACGCTCCAAGCGTTTTGACAGGCTGTGGATCATCTGCCCACTCTCGTCGCGTATGGTCTCGCTAACACCAGGTCTTCTGCTGCCTGTTGCCCGTATCAGACGGTATAACTCACGATGATTACCAATGGCAGCGGCAGTTTCCATCTCAAAGGCACGATGAGACCACCAGGTTTCGCGGTCCTTCTTTAGGCTAGCACGTAGTTTCGCCCTGAGATTTTTGCGTGCTTCATTGTATACGCTTCCAGCCGGAATACATCGGCGAGCATCCATAAGTTCGAGAGACTGTGTAGAGACCCAATGTCCGGTTTTGCAATTTGTTTTGCCACATGAAGACATGCCTGCTAACAGCAACGCTTGACGAGTATGCGACCAGTGATCTTCAACGGTGTTTAGTGGGCGCTTACTCAGCCCAGATGTCAGCGCATCTTGGTACACATTCAGAACATCTGACTTCGCAAGCTGGCTAGTGTCAATCCGTTCACATCGACGTTGCGGACGTCCACCGAAACGCATCAGGAGGTCGACACATACAAGTGCGTGGTCAGAGTCCACGCTCGTGCTCCAAATCGAGCGACAGTTTTGAACACAGCCTCTCCAGCGGTAACTGATCGCGATATGATCGATTTGCGTCCATGACTGGCCCGAGGCTGGTGGCCGCCAAGTCACACTTCTGCGGGTGCTGTGTCGAAAGTTAGTGCTCGCGAGAAACAGGCGAGCATCTTCACACAGCTGGAGCAATCGCTCACCATTATCATTACGGGAGCCTACACCATGTTGGCCGCCCAGATGAAGCTCATCAGAGGACAACTTTCCGACTTGGGCGTTTAGATCGCCAGCCAGCACCACAGTATCCGTACTCCTTCTGTAACGAAGGAGCTCGTGAAGTTGCTGATAGAAATCATCTTTTACCGAATCAGTGCTACAGTTTGTAGGGGCGTAGGCCGCAATGACAAACAGGCACCGTTTGTCCCCGCGCGACTTCGAAGCACGGAACGAACCAGCTAATCTAACGGCGCACATTCTACTGTTTACTGGGATCCAATCAAGCAAGGCAGCTTCAGCCCGGGGACTCAAAACAATGCCGACGCCGGCTTGACCGGCATTTGAAGCTGCATCATCGCCAGATAGGCGCAATGAGAATGTGCCGCCAGTGTCGCATGTAGGGGATCTCAGGGTAAGCACGGAGCTCGAACCTTGCAGGCGGGTTTCTGATAAACAGCAAATATCGATCGATAGGGTCTCTAATGTGCGGGCAAGTGCTGCCTGTTGGCCAATCTGCAGCAAAGTGCGCACGTTGAGGCATGCCAATCTTAGCGAGACACGAGGACTCCAAAGGGAAACGGATGAACTGACGTTGTCCGCTTGGTTGAACATGGACTTGTCGACTGGATTGGAGCGAGGCCCTGCGATTGTGTGTGATTTGAAATTAGAAGACAAGCGACTATTGAAGTAAGCTGGGGGAGGGCCAAGAATTGAGGGATTGAAAATGGGGGGGATATAAGTAAAGTTGGAGCGGGACAATAAGGATGCAGAAGCACAAGAAGGGGTATAAGAAGACGGGAAGGCCTGAGCAGTAGCATCCAAACCCCTATCCACCCTGCTCGATGCAGCAGATAGGGCGCCGTTTATTATCCTCTGCGACGGCCAGAGCATCAAGAAATTGTTGTAGGAAAGGTTCATTGTATTGCGTGGGCAGAATACTGTCAGGTTGCCCAGGCCTAGACAGGAGAACGATTAGGGTTCTCAACCAAAGCCTTTGGTTCAAAAACCTGACCGCAAGGCAGCGGGTTTTGGCATTGGACTACAGAGCCCGTTTTATGAGATGAGGAGCCACCCCCATTCCAACCCCCAACCTGGAGGACCAGGAGGCTGAGTTTGTCTGGCCTCTAACCATTGACCAATCTGGTATGAGTGGCTCTGAAGGTACAAAAGCACCACCCAGCATAGCTCAATGGATCTCTGAGGCACGCAAACCATCGCACCACGGTAAGGTCCAGCCTCATTGCGATGGATCATCAGTAACCGATTGTAAATCTAAGAGATAAGGACCGTACACGACAACGACAAACCCTAGAACTGCTACGTGAAACCACTCCGCGTATTTCAGTTCACTTGTCATTAAATTATGGCAGATCCGGTGATCATAAATTGGGTAGGCGTGTTGATAAAAACTGAGTTGTGATGGAAAGGATCCATGGAAAACACCTATGCATAGATCATGGGCCGGAAAGGCCAATAA